TTTTGTAAGGGAGACATGTCCGTAGAAATGCAGTTGTCATATATGAAATCTGCACTGAGTATGACAGTTGAAACAAAAGATTACTTCTGTGGTGGATTTTGTGTTTATACTGCAGCTCACAAAGGTTTTTCTGATGCAGGTGATTTTTTTTCATCTGTAGTAAGACCCCTGGAACGTTTTGAAAAGGCTTATATGGTCCCACAGGATAGGCTGAAAGCAGATGTAGGGGCCAGAGAGCTGGCTCAGTAGAATTAAGCGCTTGCTTGGCAAGCACAAGGGTCTGAGTTCAATCCCTAGTTCCGCAAAAAAAAAAAAAGAAAGAAAGAAAGCAGATGGAGTGCCATGGCTGACAGATACAGGTGGGACAAAGAGTTTCAAATATGCTCTTTATCTCAGAAAGTGGGTTAAGGAAGAGGAAGAGGGAGGAGAGTCAGTCTTGGTTGCACCAGATACTCATTTGACAATGGGGAACCACATTCTTTCTTCTAAGAGTTACTTTTGTCACCGCACACAACTCTGAGACTACACACAGTTCTCCAAAGGGTAGCCATAGTATCTACCTGAAAATTTCAATCCTAAGTTTTATCTTTTAAAGAACGAAATGAATATCATCCAGAAAATGGCATGAACTCAAACAACCTTTACTTCAATACATTGTCACCATTTTAACAAGATAAAGACACTCATCCTTTTGACTCTGCCAAAGGGGGAAGAGCAGGACAGTTTTATGCAGCACACAGAGCTTCCTCTCCTTGAGAGGAAGGAAGATGTGTTACCTGGAGTCAGAAGAGCTTTTCCACACACGTCCCCAACTGCATAGATGCCTCTGACACTGGTGTTCTGGAATTCATCTACTATGATATGACCTTTCTCATCAGTTTGAATTCCCTAAAATTATGAAGGGACAGCAATGAATACTGGATCAACTAGAACTGGCAGATCAAACCTGAGTCTGCCTCATTTCACACAGGGCAGCCCTTCTGCACAAACATGCAAGAAACCACCGAGCTTCAATGGCAATGTGAGACACATGTAAAGCTGGCAAATCTTTTTATCTTTTGCTTAATGTTACTAGAAAAACAGACAACCTGTTCAACTAAATTTCATTGAATAAGACTGAAAACAAGCCAAATACATCCTTGAATGTTTTATTACTTAAAATGCTGAAAAATGAGCCATTTACAATGGTGCAGGCTTGTAATCTCAAGCACTAGGAGGGCTGAAGCAGAAGAATCTCCCTCCATGAGATCAAGGCCAGCCTGAACTATACAGTGAGACTTTGTCTCAAAAATGAAACAATAAAATAAAATTTTAAATGCTAAGAAATACACTGGAAATATAACTCAATGGTAGAATGCAAACTTAACATATATAAGTCTCAGGGCCCAGGGAGATAGCTCAGTAGAATAAGTGCTTGCCTGGCAAGCACAAAGTCCTGAATTCAATCCCTAGTACTGAAAAAAAAAAAAAAAGTAAGTCTCTAGGTTAAATTTCTAGCACCAAAAAGTCAATAATGATAACAATCATTAAAATGTTAAAAAAAAATGTTACTGAATTGAAAAGGAAATCTACTTGTAACAGAAATTAATTTTATAACATAAATCAAAATGTTATATGCCACTCAGGCTCCATCAATTGTGTAATCCTCAAACATAAAACACTGCATTTTGCTAAAAGAGTAGTATATCAGAAAAACCATCCTGATTATCCACAACAGCAGATGTTTATATTCTAAGCCAGGGGCTAAGCTAATTACTTTGCACCCCACTGCCTCATCTATTCGTTTTTTTTATAACCCAATGTGGCAAGTACTGTTTCTATTACTATCTAGTATTTGAAGCTATTGAATTGACTTAGATTTTATTATTTTTAGGTTATCAATATTATTTATTAAACTTATTTATTGGCATTATTATTATTATTTATTTATTTATTCCTTTAGTGTGTGTGTGTGTGTGTGGCCAGCTC